TCAGGCCTCCAGCCTTCAGTTGGAGGTCATGCTGGGGACCATCACATGGTTATATGGTCACTGCCCTGTAACTCCTGTCATTGCCACCAGGAAAGAAAGCCTGGGAGATAGAAAGGCAGGTGCCAGAGATTCAGGAAGCTGGAGAGGCTGCCCTGCTCCTTGGCCAGGCCAAAGTCATGTGAGAGGAGGCAGGGAGGGGCCTGGCTGATGAAGACCCAGAAATAGCCGCCCCCCAGCTCTGGTGCTCACAAAGGGAAACTGAATTCACAATGCAGAAGTGTCCCTGGTCACGGATGCATTTGGTGAAGCCTGAGGCAGAGTGTCACCATGTCATCTGCTCAGCAAGGGGACACCTGGAAGCCCATCTGGGGCAGCCTGCAGGGCTACTGCTGTTGCTTAGAGACAATCAGGATGTCCTTGTGCAGCCCCCCTTCCTCTCCTGTGTGAGCGTGCATGTGTGTGTGTGTGTGAGAGAGAGTGTGCGTGTGTTGGGCATAGGAGAAGATTTCTCTGTGTCGTCTCTCATAGATACACAGGCCTAAGCTTATGTACACACACAATGCATGCATCAAAGAAGGGCTTTTTTTCTGGGTGACAATGACACGAGACAGAGCAATGACCATAATCACCACTTGATGGCCCCCAGCATGAGCTCCAACCAAAGGCCAGAGGCCCAGCTCTGAGACCCCGCCCTGAATTCACTTAGGTGGTGCTGGACCCAGCTCCAGCCTCAACCCCAGCCTAAGCTCATAGAGCTTAGGGAGAGTGGGCTCAGTACCAACACGGGAAAGTGTGTTTGTGTGTGCATGTGTGTGTGCATGGGAGTCTGTGTCTGGGGTGAGGGGTGTGTATGTGTAAGCCTATAGATGTGCCTGGGGCTGGGGACCGTCAATAGTCTGTCTGCTCCCTCCTCTCTGGGCCACCTTGTGCTGCTCCCTCCCTGCCCAGCCCTGCTGCATGTGTGTGTGCATGGGAGTCTGTGTCTGGGGTGAGGGGTGTGTATGTGTAAGCCTATATATGTGCCTGGGGCTGGGGACCGTGGATGGTCTGTCTGCTCCCTCCTCTCTGGGCCACCTTGTGCTGCTCCCTCCCTGCCCAGCCCTGCCCCATCCATCACCACTTTGTGGGTAGAGTCTGGAGGGAGCCATCTGATCAGAGATGCAAGAAGTAGCCACAGACAGTTCCCAGGGATCAAGTAGGCCCATCAAGTTGGGAGAATAACCACCCAACCCCAGTGCCTCTTGGTCTCCCAAATGGGATCTCTCAGGCAGAGCCAGTGAAGTCCCCACCATGTCTTTGCCCTTGAAGGGCTGAGACCTCCCCAGATGTGAGCCCTGCTCTCTGATGGTAACGAGAACACACTTCCCCAAGCCAAGGGTCTCTCCTGGGGCCTGTGAGCCCCGAAGGCCTTGAGTCTCCTGGAGAGGCGAGACTCAAGGTCAGACAGATGGACATGTGTGAGACTCAGGCAGCTCTGGCCTTTGAGATGTGTCCCAACCCTCCTCCTCCCCACCATTTCCACGTGGCCTCAATCCCCTCACCTCCTCAAGGCCCCTCCCTCTGCAGAAATGCCATGGCCAATCAGGGGAATTTCCTCCAGTGTCCCTTACTCCTCCTCTCCCTGCCACAGTGCAGGGGCAGCCAGAGAGCTCAGTGTTCACCCACAGGGCCCAGAAATGGGCCAGGGTGGGAGCCGGGTTGGAGTTGTCCGGGCTGAAATAACACTGCCCCCATCTCTAGGGACCCCTGCTGAAGGGTCCAATGCTTCCTGGATGAGGAAAAGCAGATGCTCCTGGGGAGTCCCTGGGGAGCCATCCCTGGTGCGGGAAGAGGACAGAGTGCTAGTCCAGCTGCTCTGCTGGAGGGAGCTGGCCCAGGCTCAGGGAAGGTATAGGAGAACCCTGAGCTCTGGTCCCTCCCACGGTCCTGGCCTGATGGTGAGGCCGGTGCTGCATTCTGGCTCTTCACACTGCCCAGAAGGACCCCTTGCACAAGGGCTCAGCTATGAAATGGCAGCAGCGGGTAGCCAGGGACTGGGCTGGGCTGGGTCCACTTGGAAAAAGATACTCCTGCCCCCTCCCCCACTGCTGGGCCAGCCTCAGGAAAGGGAGGTGGGGCGAGTAGGCTGGAGGTCCCAAGAGCTCTTGAAGCCTAGAGCAGAGGGCAGGGGGCAGAGGTCAGAAATGAGTCATTCCCAGTCTCTGGGCCTAGGTGACCATGCCACATTACCTGGGTGTGCCAGCCTGAATCAGGCGCCCGTACCCACGATGTGCCACGTGTGCGCTGGGTCCTCATGTGCACTGCCTAATACTCCTCTCCCAGCACCCCTGTCCATGCACGCCTCGCCCCACTTTATTGGTGAGGAGACAGGCAGAGAGGCTTGGTCAGAGCTGCACAGCCACAGGAGTTAGAGCTGGGATTCCAGCCCAAGGAGTTTGGCAGTTTCCAGTCCTTGCTCTTGTGACCACCCACCACCCAGCACCCCTCGGTGTCTGTATGGTCCATAGTGGGGGAGGGTGTGGGGGGAGGAAGGGTGTGGGGGGAGGAAAGGTGTGGGGGGTGAGAGAGGTCTCCACAGGCACAGAGACTGTCAGCCACCAGGTGGGGCCAAGTCCTTGCTCCTAAGCAGCGTCCTGGTTATCCCTGACTGGACCGTGAGGTGGCAGCAACACTCCGACTGTGCGCCGCTCCAGGCGGGTTGGAGAGTGTGCCCAGACCAGCAGGAGTCTGCATGCCCAGCCTCCCCACCGCTGATGGCCCATCTTATGTCCTCTCCCTCCAACCATGGGGTCAAGGGGGACCTGCCTCTCCCACTGTCTCTAGGCAGACCACACACTCATGCAGACATACAGAAACACACACAAAACACACAGAGACATGCACAGCTAAGGATGCCACCTCTTACTGCATTGAAATGAACAGGAAGGACCAGAAAGTCCTCACTGTCTTGTGTCAAATGTGTGCACTTTCTGCACCGAGCCCTGCTCTCCATCTCTCCTCCAGGCACCAGTCAGAGGTCACCTCCCCACACACGCATTCTCTAGTCCGCAATCAAAAACCTCATTCACGTACTTGCCCCCTCTCTCTGGGCTCATCAGGCTTCCCCATCAGCAGGAAACAAGCTGTGAAAAAAACCCCAAAAGGCCTCAGCCCCATGTCCCCTCCAGTGCTTGCCCCATTTCTGTCCTCTCCTTCCCAGCAAAACTCGCTCTGCTGCTCTGCGCCTTTGGCTCCCTTTTAGTCTGGGACCCACCATCGTCTGCCTTTCTGTCCTGCCATCCACAGAAACAGGTGACAAGGTGTCTTCAGCTGCCCCCACATTCTGAATTTAACAGACACCCCTCTGCCTACACACTCCCTGGACAAGCTTAATACCTCCAAGTTTTCACCTCCAGCCCTGACCTCTAAACCCCCGTGGCCAGCTGCCTAACCCACACCTCTGTCATCACATGGTCCAGAAGAGGCCTCAGCTCCACCCGTCCTACCTGCGCCACACACTCCTCACACCTCAAGCTCTTCCTCTCCCAGGTTCCCACCTTAGCCCATGATCCCTGCATCCACCCTGGGATTCAT